TATGTTTTTGGTTTATCATTTCTTTGCATATATTATTTTCCTTTACAAAGGTTTATTTAGAAGTTCATAAATTCGGATTTATTATATTTTTAAAAGTAACAGAAACTTGGCCGGAATAATCCGGCAGCCCATTTGTCTACAATATGAAGAATACATTGAAGAAAACAATCCACGAAGAACGCTAATCTCTGAAAATGCAGTCAAAGAACCTTGACCTAGGACTGATAAAAGCCCATAACTAAGCGTATCCATATCAATTGCACTACACCAAAATGCAGTAAAAGAATCTTAACCTAGGACTGATAAAAACCCATAACTAAGCGTATCCATATCAATTGCACATATGTTGCACCAAAACCTTAACCATATCCTCTACATGTACTGTCTCCTATCACCTATGTGGCTCTGAATCACCGAGATCTATTTTCCTTATTACAATCTTAAAGTCTAATACAAATGGTAACGTTCTGTTTCTTTATGCTAACACATCAGATCTTTGGTTGTTTATGGTTGTAGTTTATGTTTTTCTAAAATTTATTTCTATATGTTTTTCTAAAATGTTTGTGTAGACATCATTTATGAGGAGGAATGTTTACAAGTGGTCATACAAATCTTCCCCCTACAGTAGTTACCCCAAAGAAACCAATAATTAGCTGGTTGAGGTATTTGAGATGGAAGTATTTGAAATTGATGTCCCAAGTTGGTTTGAAAGCTTTAGGAGCACTTGTCCATTGGGGTGTTAAGCGCATAGCTTCGGCTCTCCTACAATATTCAAAAAATATGTGGGAAGGACTGAACAAAACACTCGCAAGCTGGACCGTGAAGGGGATATTAGGTGCTCTTGTAACTAGTCTTGGTCTTGGTGCTTATTTGGGTACTATTTGGAAGAAAATGATAGGATTTGTTGACGACCTTGTTGGTGGAATTGTGGAAGAGAGATTGGCTTATTTGGGAAATCTCCAAGTTAAAGTAATGGTCTTATGGGGATTACTTTTGGTTAAAAAGAAAAACGGAGCTGGGACAAATATGAAAACATATTAACATGTA